GATCACCAGCCTTGAGCGAGCCAACAAGGCAGCGTCAGCGCGTAAGCAACGGAAGAAAAAGCGTATACAGAAGCGAGGGACCTTAACAAAGGGAGAGGGAGAGGATATACTCGCTCAAAGTGAGGTTGAGCAGCAGATTTCTTGTGAAGAGCGTCAAGGAGGAGCGCGATCAGGCCTTAGCCGCCAGGCTCTCGCGCGCTGCACAAGGTGCAGAGAGACTGGGCATAACTCACGTACGTGTAGAAAAGATACATTAGATACTGCTTAATTTGCTCTGCAAACATCTATATATTATGTTATCACGTTGTTGAGATATACGCTTGTAGAGGTGCGCAAAGTTGGTAGGGTGGCCCGCTCGCTTGTATGGCCCGCTCGCTTGTAAAACATGTTAGAATTACATGGGAAATAGCGGAACAAAAAGGCTTGGGAATTGTAATGGCTGCCAATTGTCCACTAGCTGAAGGTCAGACCTTTCATCCTCTTGTTGATATTCGCCGATTTCTTCGACTGCATTCGCTGCCATTGAATAAGAGTTTGGCACGAATCCCTTAAGTATTGATAAAACCAGAGCATCTGCTAGACGACTGACTTGAACGCCTCTCGGGTATCTGTGTAATACGTATGTCACAAGTATTTCCAACTTCTTATCGGACAATTTGCTGGTTTTATTACTAGACACTTTGTTAGCAGTTCAACTGGTATGAGCTGGGTGGTGTATCTTACACATGAGTTGCTAGTTCAGGGCCACAAGTCAGAACGAAACTAATTCCAAGATGAGAGGCGACAAAGGACCACCTCTTTCCAATTCTTTTGTGATACATAAATCTACTTAAGCACTTTTCTTTTGCCTTTGGGCTGATGTTCTGATCATAGCGATTGTATATCTCCTCTAAGATCGCATTAATTGCTACGCTAGCGATACCTTTACCTTGGGAAAGGTAGCTCGAAATCTTCGGATCTTTACTCAGCTCAACGCGCTTCTGCTCAAAGTGGTGATGGAGGAGGATTCTTGCCATTGTGAGTTTCACAGGATCAATGGCACATTCAAATTCGATCGTTTCGGCACAACAAAGGCTTTTGAGTATTCTCTCGGTCAAGAAACCTTCCGAAGTTGGGTCCTCCCCCGGAAGACGAGACCAAGGATTCTCTAGGCTCCATCTGCAGCAGAAAAGACCTATGAAACCTCTTACGTCCTTCCGAAAAGATATATCGCCAAGCTCAGCAATGAACTTCAGTAACTCGTAGTTTTCCCCATAGAGATTGCATAGTTGAGCGTAAGAATGATTCCAATGAGTAATTGTCACTCCTTCAGGTAATGTGTATGTCGTTTTACTCACTGGACTTCCATGCCAGTCCGAGGGGAGTACCGATGGCGATAAAGATCCTAATCTTGGCTGGAATTCACATAGGAGTGAAGATCGATTGTTCGTGGTATTGATTGCTTGTGAAGATGCTTCATCGGAAAGCACCAGTCGAACATCCGCATTTGAAGCCGATATTGTCATGTTGACGCCCATCTCCCCTTGAACTTGTGGTAGGTCATGTTCATTGTGAGCTGCACCGCTGATTGCAGGAAGATCACACCGACTGTGTATATCCGGCGTTAACGATTGTATTGCCGCACTTTCGTAACAGGACACGGAGTTTCGTGTGCTCAGGTCAGTGCTGCATGGCTCTAGATCTATAGCAGAGTTTGCCTGGTATGAGTAATGGTATAGCATTCCAGTATCAACGGACGAAATCTTAGCAGGCGTGTCGAGAGACAGCCTGTGTGGTAAAAGCTTTGCTTGAATAGAGTCTAGACAATCTCCCTCTACAGATGAAAGAAGAGACAACAAGGCTCTGCCTGTGTATAAGAACTGCCAAAAGTCAGCGATATTCGTTTTGGTCATGTTAACCTACATCATCTTCTGCTTCTCTCATTCTAGTCCGTGCATAAGCTAGTAGCGGTTCGTCGTCAGAATTTCCCTTATTGTTGTTAAAATGAGCATTTATGTAAAGTGTAAGATACTTGCTAGGAGTAAGGAGCGTGTCATTGCATAAGAGGCGTGGTAACCGGAAATCCTAGGACGTATACAATAAGAGAAACCCAAGAGCGAGCGCAGCTGAATAAATAATGTTTGAGAGTACACAAGAAACTGCCGGGTATTAGAAAATACTCCCCACAGTAGCCATAATCAATCTTAATGTGACTTAAACCTATTAACGCTTCCGTGAGCTGCTCGTATTCTACTGTAATTAATTGTGCGCTATGCCTACCCTATACAGCCGTCTAGTAAGGTGTGGCGCAGGCCATTGGCGGCCTTTACTGCACCTATTCTTATTGGATAAGAGCCATCAACAATACCGGTAGTCTGACCAACACGAGGGATCAAACGTCTGTTAATGGTCACGCTAGTACGGAAGCAGTAGTTGGAACTTGTGTAGGCCCCCCCTCCAATATTCATGGAGGCATCCGTAAAGCTCCCGGTGTTGGCCGGACCCACCAATATAACATGTGCTCAGCCGGACTCTGTATTTAAGCAGTTCAGCTGAGCCCTGATAGCTAATCAGTGCAATTCCCAAGTCTCTAACTATCAAGTAAACTTACATACTGTTACAACCCTCAGCACAAGTAGCTAGTCTCTGCCAACCTCAAAAAAAGAGTTAACCTAATATGCCGGTGAATGGGAGGCCAGACAAGCTTGTCCAGGTGTTTATTGAAGAGAAGAGACATTCTTGCCAGTTGAACCAAAAAAAAAAGTGCAAGGGCGGAGTGCTCGATGACAAGGGCCAGTTTCAGGAAAGAACGACTAGTAATGTTCAGTGTGACGACCATGAAGCTGAGGGAACCTTTGCAGTGCAGAGACAACTCTTGCTCAAACTAGCAGAGCAGGAAAATCGATTCGTGGAAGTACCCGCGCCTGGGACAACCTCATTCCAGAGCCTTGAGAGCTTGAGAAAGGACACAGTTCAAGCAATCGAAAAAATATGGGTGAAAAGTACTAAATCTAAAGCCCACCAACGGCCACTTTTATCATACAAGTGACTCAATTCTTGATTGTAAGTTCTTGGTGGTTTCAATAGCTATATAGCTTTCCAGAACGGCAAGGTCCGACGTAATTGATATTGAGCGTGATCTCTGCTCGATCTGCGCATCGTCAAAGATCACTTAGATAGGAGTTCGAATCATTGGCCTCGAAGCTCCAGAAATGAAGCTGAGTTAAAGAACATTGTTCTACAGTATCAACTGAACCTAGATGGACTTTGCTGCGTCCTCAAGTGCCTTTTTGACATCATCCTGTGTGCCTCCTTTCTTCACCAAGGCGTCGGCCATGACGGAGTGTGTGCCGCCATTTTGTTCCCTCCATTGTTTGATGGAAGATGGGATTTTCCCGGCGTTGGGCTGCATCTGGAACTTGTTGTATACACCATCCGCTTTGGAAACCTCCCCATCGAAGTCCCAACGAACTCCGATTCGTTCCTGCTCCGCTGAGCTTTTAGGATACACAGTTTTGCCCCTGCCCACAGATACATCCGTAAACTTCTTCCAAGCATTCCCCTCCACAGCCTTGTTCACAGCCGAACTGATTGACTTCTTCATCGTGATTAACGGAGGCTAGGTTTGGAGGATCAGCTGTGACCTGCCCATTTCCATCAGTTTGTTGCTTACATCTAATGCAAGCGCTGCACAAGCTTTCGAATAGCTGATGAAAATGCTTGAGACCGCGGTCGTAGTTGTAGACGGTGGATCTGGGAGTGCTGTATGTGAGACATGCTTCGGAGAGCTTATATAGTGATGGGGAAATGATCTAAAAGGCTAAGAGAGAGCGCGGCCATTGAGCGTGTCTGTTTTCCAAACACGATAGATGGACTCTCTTTCGTCTGCGCATCTCTGATTCTCGAAGACCGCGCGTCTAATGCGGCACAGTCTTATCTGGTTTCTTCGTTCGACTCTTCTGTATGGCTGAGTAGCATATAGTGTACTGTAAGCATTGGTACCTGCATTTGTCTCTCGTGTTCGATTGAGAGCACCTGATAGGGGATTGGTGGGACCAAAGATTGAGATGCGTGTGACGACTTTAAGCGCAGAAGCTACCAGCACCATGCAGCTGCAGTGGCCCCCTGTACAGGAACATGCAGTGAAGATGCTTTGCGCCAAAACGAAGGCCTAGACAAACAAGATCAATGCTTAAAAGTGATGCCTTGTTACGTCTACTTCGAATCAACCGAAGCTTTGTGCAGCCAAGAGCGGTCCGAGCTCATTAGTCAGCACGCCCCGCAACTCGCCGGACCGATATATGCCTTCGCTTCGCGCTACCTTTCAACGACGCGCCGTCATCTCATGGCGTTCTTCCGATACTTAAGCAGCCGTCCGGCTGTCACCTCGGCTCGCTGTCGCCCTCCACGGATGACCCCATGCCTCAGAGTCAAAGATCCCACCATAGTATCAATCCATACGCTCGCAGGTCACTCAATGGAGCAACACTCTGAGCTGTTCGAATACACATCGGGGCGATGGATGTCAGTCAACTCCTTCTCGGTCAAATGTTAACCTTCATTACTGACTATGGATGGAGCTGGAACGACGCCTTGAAGCATTCAGAAAGGAAACGAATGTTCAACGTCTCCGAATTGAAGCGCTTGGCGGCCGCAGCCGTCAATCGGAGCGTGGAAGATGTGGCTCGATTTGAAAAGCTTGGCGAAGGTGGATTCAATCGGACGTTCCTGATTACGATGCACGATGGCTTCCAGCTCGTCGGGCGAATTCCTTATCCCGTTACCGAGCCGAAGCACCTAGTCGTTGCTAGTGAAGTTGCAACAATGGACTTTCTACGCATGAACGGAATACCTGTTCCTAAGGTCTACAAATACTCAACCACTCCAGAGAACGCTGCTGGCACCGAATACATTTTCATGGAATTAGTACGCGGAACGAATTTGGGCGACATATGGTTTGATTTATCAGAAAAAGCTAGAATTACTGTCGTCACTAAACTCGTGGAGTTGGAGTCTCAACTATTTGCTCTCCCGCTTCCGGCAAGCGGTAGTTTGTACTACACCAAAGATCTGGACGTGGAAACCAACAAGATCGATGTTCCCACCACGGATCCTTCTTGCCATAGTCGTTTCTGTGTTGGTCCTGATACAAGACTTAGCCTATGGCACGGGAAAAGATTGAGACTTCATGTCGATCGAGGACCATGTACGTGTCAATCCTCTACCGCTCATGCATCCAGATCTCCATACATGCCCGCCGCTCTGCATCTCTTCGTTATTGATTGGCGGCCCCTACTAAGTACCCAAAAGTCACAGATTCAGCAGCTGTTCTTGCAGCTGGGGCCAAGAAGGAGATTGCGTACCTGACAAAATTTGGCCGACCGCTTCACCCGTTTCAACGTCTGCGTCGAGAGTTATACAACTATCAGAAACAATCGCCTTCCGAGCACCTACACAGTCTAGACAAATATCTGCAAGCTGCGCCTTACATCATACCGAAAGGCGACGCCTCTCTTACCCGCCCAACGCTACGACATCCTGACCTTCAACCTAACAACGTGTTCGTTTCAGACAATCTCAGTATTACCGGTCTAATCGACTGGCAACACTGCGCATCACTTCCACTCTCTCTGCAATGCGGTATCCCGAATAGTCTCCAGAATTACGGCGATAGCATTTCGGAATCGCTTACCCCACCTGAACTACCACATAATTTCGACGAACTGAGTGGAAAAGAACAGTTTGAGCAAGTTGTGCTCCTACGTCGGCGTCAGCTCCACTACTTCTATGTCGCAGCAACGGCTAAGCTTAACCCGATGCACTATGACGCCTTAACCCACGACTTCAGCACGTTGCGACGCAGACTATTTGATCACGCAAGTTCTCCATGGGAAGGCGATAACGTCACTCTTAAAGCCGACCTGATTGAATTGGAGCAGAAATGGTCCAACATCACAGCGTCGAGCTCGAGCACGAGCGACGATGCAAGCCCCCCTTGCCCCATCAGCTTTTCGGAAGACGAGGTGAAGAGGTGTTTGCATATGAACGCTGCGCAGATTGAGGCAGATGAGCAGCTTCAAGCTTGTAGGGATGCCATTGGCATCGGGCCAGAAGGGTGGGTGCCCTTGGACCAGTATGACGAGGTAAAGCAACGTGAAAGTAAGCTCAAGGCCGACGCGCTTGAAGCAGCTGAGTCCGACCATGAGCGGCTGATGTTATACGAGCATTGGATATTCGACGATTTCGATGAAGACGAGTATTCGTAACCGATTCCTTCACTAGGGTAGAAGATCGCAAAGGATTACAAACACAAGGCAGTACAAGAAGATAGCTACGATGAGACTACACTGGTGCATCAATCAAAACTGTCGCACTGGCTGCGCAATTCAGGCTTAATCGTTTCTAGATTGCAGAAGTAAAGGGCCTTAGCCTGGGTGAAAGTCTTCTCATTACCCAGAATCAACTGCCATTAGCAGTGCTTCGATGACCACTATCGTTCAGGACCTTATGTGCCAGGCAAGACTGCGTTCGAGTCCCTTCACTGATTTCGAGTTGATATTACCTACATCGGGAAAAGTTTTTCGAAATCCGGCCCAGACTGGCCGTTGCTGACAGTCGTGGCATGGTCGTGCAACAGCCGTTCAACGGCCCCAACGGCCCCAATTTGCGCCCAACGGCCCCAATTTCGCGCTAACGTTGCCAACGGCCAAAACGCTAAGTGCCCATATTCAACAAACTCAAAACGACGTTACAACGTCGTTACATGGCTACCCTTAGTTCTGCTAACTTAACTTAGTACTAGTATTAAATATTCAAAAATTGCGAAATTTTATGCACAGATAGAGCGAAATTGTAGCTTCAAAATAAGCAAAAAATTATTATTGTAGGCCTACTACAACGCAAGTTATAGAGCGTTAAAGGTTTGTTTGTTGAAGGTTTGTGTTTTGAAGTTGCGACAGCACACCATGGCAGCTGCAGCTGCGCCAGCACACAACACATCAGCTGCAGCTGCAACAGCACACGACGTAGCAGCTGCAACAGCACACAACAATGCACCTGCTAACAAAACAAGCACACACTGCAGAACAGGCAGGCCTAGGCGTAGAATTCTTAGTTTACCTACTATTCTTAAATAATATTCTTGTATTTTCTAACATTTAGGCTCCTAGAGCCCTAGCAAAGAATCTTAACTTAGTGTCTTAGTAAGGAACATTAAGCTTAAAACCTTCTACGCTTAATAACTATTCTATTAATAGGCCTATAATATTATTTAATAGCTTATTTTAAAGAGGAGACTTAGTAGTATATTAATATAATAAAAGTATAGTTTATTAAGCAGAGCTACTATTGTAGCAGGATTAGGAGTTGTTGTAGCTATTGCAGCTGTTAGGACTGTTAGAGCTGTTGGCTCGAAATTAGCTAGACATTGAATGCACATTAAATGACTGTTGTAGGCCTACAAGTCCTACTGTTGCCCACAGTACAATGCCACGATTTCCTGATTTCGACAACGGAAAAACTTTTCCTGATGTAGGCTGGCGGAATGGGTATACTCCAACGTCCTTTGTGGGTACCCCCCAAAACCTTATCAATAATACATAGATTCTAGCAAACTAGGGCTAAAAAGAAAGAGAAAAACCACCTCTACATTTTTATAGTAGAAGGTTTTGTTATAACTATTAAACTGTACAAGCTAGAGGCTAGAAAATATTAAAAAAGGGGGGGTACCTAGCAAGCATACCTATTAATAGGTATACTTTGCTAGGTAGTGTTAATAACTTAGCTAATACTAGGCAGAATTAGCTAATTCTTTTTTTATTAGAAGGCGCAATACTAGGCGCTTCTATCGAATAATAAATTATGTAAGCATATCTCTGCTAGTTAAGAAGCTATAAGCTAAAACGTAAAAAAGCATACCCTACCCATCCGCCAGCCTAATATTACCTATAACGTACCTGACGGGTGAGTCGCCCATATGGGTGAGTCGCCCACTCTGCCAAGACCCCACCAAAACTCAACCCTCTCACACAATGCCACAACAACAACGCGAATTAGGACCTTTAAAGGAAGCTAGAATACAGCTTGTGCTTTAGGCTATTAAAAAAGACGCAACACTCTCCCTGCAACGCGCTGCAGCCCTCTATAACGCGCTATACAGAACACTACGTGATTAACACACTAGACAACCTGCACAAGCAGATTATATGCCTAAATTAAGGAACCTAGACAAGAATAGGCTGGCGGAATGGGTATACTCCAACGTCCTTCGTGGGTACCCCCCAAAACCTTATCAATAATACATGGATTCTAGCAAA